ACATACATATATACATATATATGTATATATGTATGTTGCAATAATGTATTTCGTCGTGGTGTTAGTCATTGACAGTAAGCTGTCTCTGTTGTTCAAGAAAATAACAAACTCTTTGTGGAATTTCTTTACTGTGATATCAGATGACATTCTGCTCCTGCTTTAAATGATGATAATCCATACTTTCTGATGTTCAAGATAGTGTTGAGTGGTAGATAGTTATTAGCAGTACTGTATTTTAATTATAGAAAGCGCTAATCCGCTTATGAATTATAAATATTAGTAAGACTGCTAAAGCGCAAATTAAATTTTTAGGTCCGCAATTAGCAGATTTGTGCTTTAGCGGACTGGTGCCCACCACTGTCCTTTGGTWTGTTTTTCAAATCATTTAGACATCTGTTAAACAGTGAGTGCATTTCTCAAAACAATGCGTACGAATAGCAAAACACCATGTATTAACCCCAACACCCAGATTGCTGGGATTGTTGCTCAAAATCCTGAGTTCATGTCTCAAAACTAAATTTCTGTCAGAGAACGTGTCCGGGCCATCAGGACAGGTCTTTGTGTCAGTGTGGACACATCAGACAGGCACTAACTCTGCAAGATGTTCTGATGGAAACGTTTTTGTTACAAATTGTAAATTGTGGGAGACTGATTGTAAGATTTAGATTTAAGCTTTTACTGTTTGTGCTGTAATTTKTTGACARACGTGTCAGTGTGGTACAGAAAGGAAAGCACAGCCCTGCCTCAGCACAAAGAAAAAATAATGTGAAAATGTTGGACAATCTCCTAAATGAAACTGTGCACACCTTACAGAGCAGTCTTTCTGCATCTCCTGGAGGAGCTCCAGCAAGTATSCAGCCTCTGCAGACGTGTGCTGTGATGTCATCACACGCTTCATCCAGGGCAGCCAGAAGAATCATCTGTGTGGCTGCAGATCAGGTACTTCCCATCTCCATGCTGTGAAACCTCCTCAGTGGGGTTAAGGATGGGGGGTAGGGTGAGAGGAACTCCATCATCCTGTTGTGGGTCACAAAACCAAACGATCAACTGCTTTAACAAGTGATCACCAGACCGACATCTCTCCTGTTCAGGGCTGAGATGAAAGTCRGCGTTCACCTGGAGCAATTTACCAACTCAGATTTAGGAAAAATTGTAGGGATGATGTATCGGCATTAACATCGGTATCAGTCCGATAAGTAAAACTGGGCCGATATTAACTCCCGATATTGATTTCCCATTGTTTAGCTTTTGTTTCTGTTTCGGGAGGGGAGATGGTTGGTTGGGTGGTATCTGTTTGATCATGATAGTGATGCTGMACAGCTAACTGAAGTAGAGCAGCCGGTCCAGATGTTATCAGTCCATTAAATGGATGTTATTAGYGGTTATCAGTCCCATAGAATGGCTTCAGACTGTCCCGACAGTGCCCCCTAGTGGGTTACCAGTGCCACATACATTGGAATGCAACAATCTGCTACCACCTGAGTCCGGTCTACTTTATTGTAGCTCATGTCATTTTCTCTAAAATTAAAACCTTAGTGGTTTTATGCCTCATACTAACCAGCTGACAGTCTGAAGCCATTCTATGGGACTGACAACGGCTAATAACGTCCATTTAATGGATGATAACATCCGAAGCGGGAGAGTAGAGCCATGTCAGAGGTCTGGTTGTTTTTAAAAGTATTTAAAAAAAAAAACACAAGCGTATGTGTGCTTATATGTATGTAAATAATTTGTGTTTGTGTAATATCAGTAAATATCAGTTAGCAACTGAAGAAATTTATTGGTCACTGACTTACTGATTCTAAAAGCACAACACCATTTTATAGTTTTCCTATGTAATTACTGGTTTCTATAAACTATTGTGTGATTATTGTTATGCCTTGATTAAAATAGTTTTAGCTACATGCCTGGAACACCATGACAACACATAGAAACCATTGATTTAAACATTAGGAAAGTTGATTCTGTTTGAGTATCTCTGGTCTCAGCTGTAGGTATGTGGTGGGCGGGCCAGATGCTGAAGAGGCGTGATAAAATAATTTGTATTTCCGGGGTTCAGCATGGACGCTGCAGACGATGACACTTGRAGCATTAAAGTTCAGAACCAGTACTGGTTTGGTTGTATGGTCTATTCTCTTCMCAGTTCTATCATTTTACCWTTCATGTGGTKTWTGCCTGACACGATTTCAGTAAAMGAAYGCCAATTTTCTTACACAACTATAACACCATAATAATATCAGATATCAGTGCATCCCTAGTTTAATGAAGACGCATCAAAATTTGAGATATGAGAACTTGTTCAACCACTTTGCATGTAAAGACTAAAGCTATGAAGTAATGCCTWCATGTTGTGAGGGGTGAGGTTTCCTCGTGTTAAACAACAAACAGCTGGTTTCTGTTAAAGGCACAGTGTGTAGGGTTTTGCCAATTCTTTTAGCCGAAATTGAGATAATCACTAATAACAATAATAAAAAACATGTCTAATCATTGCAGACAAAGACCTTGTTTTATTATTTTTACCTTACCTTATACCTCCACGGTTGCGGGTCGCCACTACAGGCAGCCACCATCTTGTCTACGAAGGCTCATGAAGGA